GTGTTATTGCCACACTAGAAAAAAAGTTGGCACCTGCAACTGGTTGAAAATTCTGCAACTCAGGAGGTCACTGTTTTGGTTTTTCCCTGAATTCAGAGTTTTGAGTCCTGGGTTGCTGTGATTTTTATGAAATGTAAAGTATTAATATTTAACAATTAATTATTTAAATGTTTATTTTGTTGAAAAAAACATATACATTGATAGTGTACATTTTCTGTGCTTAACATCCATGTGACCCTAAGTCTGGACAAAGAATCCCTTTCTATGAGTTTGGCTGATACATCCCAAAGGTGTCCCCTGTCTTGTCAGTGGCGTGCCTACTCACCAACAACCCTACCCCCATTTACTAAAATAACAAATTCAGTTGGTCAGATAAAAATTAAAGAGAAACAGAGAATTTGGGAAAATGTTTAATTTATAACATACCAAACAAAATCCAAACCATTTTTATGGCTTTTTTCTTTTTCCTTGTTGGCAATATTGCTGACAAGGATGTATATAATCATGCAATGATATTAACCTACAGGACAGAGGACTGATTGGGCAAAAACCCAATCCAGTCCCCTACCCAAAATCATTAAATTGGTTAGCATCAGAAAAACAGAGAATTTATGAAGTGGTTATACAAAACAAACACTATTTTACAACTTCCCTCTTAACATCAGAGCCCAAATGCAATTTCAGGGCCGCCAACCCTGCTCTGAATTGCGACCTCCTGTGCTTGAAACAAGCTGCAGATTCTCGTTGCTTTGATGGATCTGGATATTTACATGGCACTAATATTCATCTGCAGAGTTGCAATTTGGTCACAGTGCCATCCTTACCCTGGAGGTGGGGTCATTGCAGATAACTTTTTGGCTAGCATGTCAGCAGCCATCTCTGGTCTGGGGAGATTAGTGAAAAGCATCATTGACGATTGGTGCAGTCTTGGTAAACTCCAGGACATGTCCACACCCCCCTGGAGTTCTGTTGCATCATTGTATCATCAGGTGACACTAGTCAGATTAGCCTTATGTACATGAGGAACAGGTGAATGACTGTAATGTGTTCAAGGCAGCATGCATGCATGCTTCAATGCCTGTAAATTTCCTGTAATCAAACATTGCATATTCGAAATGTCTCTTTTTCAACAATGTGCTGCCTTGACTTCTTGTAATATATATAATATTTATGATAATATTATTAATGGTCACGAAAAACAAAATATTATCAATGAAAATCTTGTAATTACCCAGCAAGATCTGCTCCGCGTTTTGATTTCCAATTAAAATATTTATTATAACCAATAAAGACAACAAATATATATATATCAATACAAGTAAAAAATAGTACATCTGGTTAGTTATTAACATGTCTTCTTTAGGAGACCCAAACCAAACCAAACAACAATGTTCATGTTTTGTCACCTTGGACACCATCAAAAAATAAAATTGTTTTTCCAAGAAAAAAAAATCAATTCACATCTGTCCTACCAAAAAAAAACCAATAGGATAAATAATCAATGTGTACACATCGATCAAATCACAAACTTCTTTTATTTCCTCTCAAAAAAAATGTCATCAGGAACCAATAAAAGAAGAAAAAACCAAGAAGCAGAAGAAATCTATTTTAAGAATGGTGGTGGTTTATCGCCCACCACTCGTTGTCACTCTAGTTTATACATAGGCAACCCCGTTAATCCGAACCCCGTTAATCCAAAAACCCTGTTAAAATGAATAATTTTTAAAACACCAAAGCCAAACATATGTAAATTACCCCGTTAATCCAAATGTCACTAATATAGCTCTATAAACCGTAAACCGAAGAAATTTTTAAATTTTTTGAAGCCATTTATATGTAAAATTGCCCTGTTGATCCGAATTTTTATAAACCGAAGTGAAATAAAAATTGGACCAATAATAATAATATACAAGTTATACAAATACATATGTAAAAAATTATCATGGAAATAGCAAATAATAATCATAGACCTTCCTCTAGTGCAAACAAGAGGAAAAAAAAAAAAAAACTACTGAAAAAGAAGTTGGGGTATCAAAAAGAAAACATACGCCTATAACAATCTCACAAAAAATAGAAATATGCATTGAAAAAAATAAAGACCCAAACATAAAAAATAACCAGCTTGCATTTAAATACAATGCCGGCGAATCTACTGTTTCTGATATTCTAAAAAAGAGTGATTATTTTTTATCATTGAATCCAAATCAATTCACTGCAAATTCATATCGTGAGAGATCAACAAAATATCCAGAAATTGAACAATCATTAGCACTCTGGATTGATCAGGCAGCAAGTGATAATTGTACTTTATCTGGGCATATTGTTATTTCAAAAGCTAAAGTTTTTGCCCAACATTTTCAGATAAATGACTTCAAAGGATCAAATGGGTGGTTTGATAGATTTAAAAGACAATACAATATTTCTGAACATGTTCGTTGTGGTGAGGCAAATTCCGCATCTTTGGAAGAATTGTCACAATATCGTGATAATCTCAAAAATCTTCTTAGTCAATGGAATCTTGATGATGTATACAATTGCAACGAAACTGCACTTTACTGGAAGCTAGAACCTTCCAAAACTCTTGCTAGTGGACCACTTTCGGGCACTAAAAGACCAAAGGACTGAGTTACTGTTTTACTTACCTGTAATGCTACAGGAACATCCAAATTAACACCTCTTTTCATTCATAAGTATAAAGACCCTAGATGTTTAAGAAATATTGATAAGAAAACTTTGCCTGTTTTTTATTATTGGAATTCGTGTGCCTGGATGCAATCATCTGTGTTTATCATTGGCTTACAAAATTAAATGAAGATATGAGAAAAGCAAGATGTCACATTTTGCTTCTGCTAGATAATGCTACATTGCATTCATTGGAAGAAGGCATTTCTCTTTCTAATATTACATTACACTATTTCCCTCCAAATACAACATCCCATCTCCAGCCTTGTGACGGTGGAATAATACATTCCTTTAAATCAAAATATCGGCGGATTTTATGTCAAAACAGAATTGATGCATATGACAATAAGATTAATCAACAAATACCTGTACCAAAACTTACAATATTTGATGCTATTTCTTTTACTGCAGAAGCATGGAACCTTGTTTCACCTAGTACAATTGTTTCATGCTGGTCTAAAGTTGATATCCTTCCTTCTTCGGAAAATATTGAAGATTATTTAATTTTACCATCTGATGATGATACAGATTCAATCCAAGAAATGATTGGTTGTTTTAATTTTGATGATCCATTATCTGCTAATGACTACATAGAAATAGATTTGAGATTGCAAAATCAGGATAAATTAGCTGATCAAGAAATCATTGAACTAGTTAAAGGGAAGGAAGCGATTGAAGAAGAAGAAGATAACCAATTTCAAGTTTCTGAAGATAAAATAACTATGGACCAGGCTATGGAATCGATTGAAAGGCTCCAATTTTTTCTAATGCAAGAAGAAAGAGGAATGGGTATTAGTGAGAGTTTCCTGCGTGAATTAAACAAATTTAAAAGAGAATTAAAGAAAGAAATTTTTGTGTCAATGGCTCAAACAGAAATTGATACATATTTTAGTTAAATGATTTTGTAAATTATGATTTATTATTAATAATAAATGGATAAAGGAAATTCTAAATTTTTAAATTTACTACCCCGTTTATCCGAATTAATTTATGACTCTAATAATAACTTCGGATTACAAAAAAACCCTGTTAATCCGAAGAAAAGTCCCTGCACAATTGCCTTTGGTTTAACGGGGTTGCCTATGTAATAGTAAACAATATTTATTTTAAACATCTAGTCATCCCTCCTCATCCTCCTCATCTTTATTACAAGTAAGTTTATCATGTTACTTTAGGTGGATAAGACTAATTGTCTTATTATTAACAAGTTTATTTTTTTTGATTATAAAATATATACCAATAACTTCTAAGGATGAAAGATATTTGAGAGTTTTCAACTCAATAAAAACATCAGTAAGTCTAAATTTTAATTTGAACATTGATCAAATTGATCAAACAATAACATCAAATAACAATATCAAAATCAATGGATTACATTGCGTGAAAAATTTAGTTGAAACCATTGTAAGCACAGAATGAATATTTTATTTTTATTGTTTTTAGGAATTTAACAGAATCGACCTATTTATCTTACATTATAGGAAAATAATTTAGCTCATGTTGTTGATATTGGTAATGATTATAATCTTAATACTAATAATATTGATCTTCCAATCAATGATGATATTGACAACAATCGTACCCACAACATTAACAACAATAATACCAATGACAATGATTATAATCTTAATACTAATCTACCAATCAATGATGATATTGACAACAATCATACCCACAACATTAACAACAATAATTCTAATAATGATAATGATAATCTTAATACTAATGATATTGATCTACCAATCAATGATGTTATTGACAACAATCGTACCCACAACATTAACATCAATAATACCAATGACAATGATTATAATCTTAATACTAATGATATTTATCTACCAATCAATGATGATATTGACAACAATCATACCCACAACATTAACAACAATAATTCTAATAATTTTAGCAATGATGACATTAATATAGAAGAAACTAATAATACTGATAATTTTCATTACAATAATAACATTGATAATAATATCAATATCAATAGTAATAGTGATAATAATAATGACAATAACATAAACGATAATAACAATAGTAATATTGCAATGAAAAGGATGAGATGGACAAATCAGGAGAAATTAATCCTAATTGACCATGTCTTTTCCACAGTAAGGATAGATTACAGTTTTGCAATGCAAAACTTGAGCAGAAGCAAAAATGCAGTGTACAATCAATGGCTTTTCTTAAAAGGAAACTGAGAAATCATATGGTCAATGAGTGAATTCTAATTAAAATTTTTTTTTATTAAATAAGTCTGTTATTCTTGTTAAATAAATAAATGAAAAAATTACATGCATGCACATTGGCTACTGAAATCAATAATAATAAAAAAATTTTTTTTGTTTTATATACCAGCATTGGCAACACCAAAGTGATTAAATAAATTAAAAAAACCCAAAACCTAATAAACACAATAATTTCCATAATATTTGTTTCCAGTAATTATTAAGGATTTCAGTTTTTATTATTAGGGTCTGTAATTCTATACAGTCATACCTCTTCCATGTCTCATCTTATTTATATTCCCACCTCAATTAAATCCCAAAATGAGCTGTGGCAGATTTCCCTCTATTAATTTGATATAGACTTTATCTCATTTACATTATCTTCTATCCTTAATTTTTCTTGCTGATAAATCATAGGTAATTCTTTCTTTTTTTAGATAAGTATCAAGTGTCTGAGTATTGTTTATTCTGAAAGTATAAGGAGCAATTTTTTCACCTTGTTCTTTCTTTAGAATACTTCTAATGGTGCTGTAATTTTTGGGTTCCATAGTAGATCTGATGTAAATGAGTTTCATATTAACTATTTTTATATAGAGGTAATTCTATATATTAAGAGGATAACAAATGGAAGATTTTAATAACCACATTACTAAATTTTGATCCCTGAAATCTTTGGTAATACCAATGTTCACTTTGTCTGGTTTTGTTGCAGCATGCCCCATATAGTAGTCAACAATTGATTTATTAGGGAATCAAAAATTTCGTGCAACAATTTCTTTCTTACAAAAATAATCAATAACTACATAGTAATACATAGTAAATCTTCTATATTAAAAAAATCATTAAAATATTATAAATGTAAAAATAAGTGAATTATTATAATCAGTTGATCAGTTAAATCAATTGATTGGTAAAATTTAATTTCGTTACAGTAGACAGTTCAAAAGTTTTAATGTTAATATATATATATTATGGGTCAAATTATGTTCGTTTTTCTAATGTTATTGCAAACCTTAATTAATTTTGGTCTGGATCAAACTATATAACAAGCAGGAATTTTTGTTACTGATCTATCTATGAAGTTTTCTGGGTCGTGATAGAATTGTGGTTACTGCATTAGAACGTCTCAAGAAAAAAAGCCATTATACCAATCACTTTTACGTTGGATCAGGAAAATCAATGTTTTTGTAAATCACGAAAAGAAATCTGCTGTTAATAATCACATAGGGGTAGCAAAATATAAAGATGCTGAACGAAAATATAAAAATACTCTACAATCTTTACAAAGATCTTTGATTTCTTTGTTACTAATGGTTGTGAAAAATAACATTGCATTTACAAAGGTTGACACCGGGACACGTGAAAAGGACTGGGGACGGGCAGGTGTGGCTTGAACCCGTCCCCTGTCCTTTTCACATTTGGCCTTTAATACTAGAAAAGGACGGGCAATGGTACAGGTGTTTTTCAAAATAATTAAAAAAGGACGGGCAATTATGAGGGGCGGGTGTGGCGTGGGTCAAGGCACAGCAACCCATCCCCCGTCCTTTTCTATTATTCATTGGGGAAATCTTGAAAAGGACAGGTGAAAAAGGGACAGGTTACTGTGCCATTACTGCCCGTCCCTAATGTTTTCTTAAAAAGGACGGGCGTTAATAATACTTACAATATTGTATAATAAATAAGAAAATAAATCATTTCAATTGTGCAAGGCATAATTGGAAAATATTATATTATTATGTACTAGCCATAAATTCGTATTAATATTAGTAATAAAAAATAAAATTGATATGTGCCAAAAAATATAATAAATCTATTACCAAATAAATGTGGCATTGGCATTCATTATTTGACAATCTTGATTAGTACCAAATAACAATGCATTTATTATTAAAAAAACGTGGCATTCATTTTGATTAGTATTAAATTTAAAGTTTTGTATTAAAAAGGTTATTTATAGTGGTGGCAACAATCAACATCTGAATCTAGATTTTCATGTTTTTTGACACTAAACAAAATTGCCAATTCAAATTTGTTCTATAATATATTAAAATGAACTAGCCACAAATTCAGTAATAAATCCATTATTAATAAATGTGGCATTGGCATTCGTTATTTGACAATCTTGATTAGTACCAAATAACAATGCATTTATTATTAAATAAACGTGGCATACATTATTTATGATTTTGCATTCATTAATTATAAAAACGTGGCATTTATTTTTGATTAGTATTAAAATTAACATTTAAAGCATTGTATTAAAAAGGTTATTCCCCTTCTATTTATAGTGGTGGCAACAATCAATATCAGAATCTATATTTTCAATGATTTTATTTTATACAATTTTGTCTCAAACCAAAAGATTATAAATAAAAATAAAAATCAAGATTTTAAATAAGGAATAAATGGATATGGGATATTATATTTATGACAAACAGCTTTCACCTGTGTTTGCCCATTAATAATAAAAAAAACAGCAGGACAAAGTGGTAATGGCACAGTAATGACGCAGCAACCCGTCCCTTTTTCACCCGTCCTTTTCAAGATTTCCCCAATGAATAATAGAAAAGGACGGGGACAGGTTGCTGTGCCTTGACCCGCGCCACACCCGTCCCTCATAATTGCCCGTCCTTTTTTAATTATTTTGAAAAACACCCGTACCATTGCCCGTCCTTTTCTAGTATTAAAGGGCCAAACGTGAAAAGGACGGGGGACGGGTTCAAGCCACACCTGCCCGTCCCCCGTCCTTTTCCAGCATCCCGTTGACACCCCTCTAGAGAAAATTGATAAATTAAAGCCTTTTTTGTAAAAATTCCAAGTGATTAAAGTTTCCTGAAAAAAGTTAAATATAAAATTATTATTTAATTTTATTATTATATGGGAGGTTCCATCGCAAGTTCAAATAAACTAAGGGAAAAATATTTATCAATTTGAAGTAGGAAAATTAAAAAATTTGATAAAGGATAAAACAATTAGCCGAAAAAGTAGAAAAATAGTTAACATACCATTTAGCCACGATAGATATACTAGCTTTAACTGAATTTTTAGAAAAAGTTGATATCTCAAATAGTCGAGAGTATTTTGAATTTCTATATATAACGATATAATTTTTTTCATTCCGACAATGCAAGCTATATGAAATTAGCACATTAATGTTCTTTTTTATCGCCATCATTTCTACCAAATATGATTCAAACAAATTATATTGATTTTGTATTTTTCTTTTGGCTAAAAAAAGAGCAGAATTTGCAAAAAACAAAAACATAATCCTGGCTGGACACTTCATTTATAATAATAATAACAATAATCGGGGAGAATTGTTGTTGATATAACATATTGATATACTGCATGTATCAGGAGGGAAAAACGAGCGTTACATACAACCGCGATTCACATACACGTACTATTTGATCAAATTTTAAAATTTTTATTTTACGAATAAATTATTAAAAAAATGATTAAAATGTATAAAAAATTATATTAACAAATGCATTATTAATTTAAATTACAGTTTAAACAATTAAAATTGTATTTTAACAATGTCTTCCTCCAATAAAATCTGACCAACTTTTAACTTCATTTGGTATTTTACCATCAACTAGTCCACTAAATTCAATTCTTTTTCTCTTGAGAGCTTCTACAAATAATTTGGCACATTTTCCATC